AGGCTAAATTGATATATCAGTAATTGTTTGTAAAGTGTTTGTGCAGTGCAGCCATGTCTCTCTGCGTTTGCGTGTGTGTGTAGCCGTTGAGTCCTTCTGTAAAGAAAGACCGAGCTTTCGTTCTCCATGCCCCTGGCCCTCAAGTGATAATCCTCATTCAGATTGGCATGCTGAACCGCTGGTTTGAGCATTCACCATATTCACCCTTCGAGAAAGCAGGACCTCTGAGGACATCTCGGGAGCCAGCGAGGCTCAGCAACCCTGTGCCGAGATGCCGACTGTCCGGACAGACGGAAAGCTGCACTTGTGCTTGGGGAAGAGCAGACGACTCCTCTCGATGACCACATCGTTCAGTTGCGGACGGAGCTCAACAAGTGCGCCGCCAAGCTGGGAGACTTGACAGTGGTGGCAGACTCTGCGAACGACGTCCTGTGCCGGGAGCAACAGAACCTGATCCTCGGTCTGCACGAGCAGTTTTTTCATCGCGGCTCGCAGCGCGATGCGGAACTCTAATTTCGAAGTTTGTGGAAAAGCTCTTCGAGCTTGAGTGCTGCAAGGCGAAGTCGCCGGCTGCCGAGGAAGATGACTCGGACACAGAAAGCACCGGCACCGGCAGCCCTGGCAGCGACGACGAAGATCCCGACTGGACAATGGTCCATGACGAGTCGGAGGATGCCGACCACGAGGGGCAACAGCGCGGTGGTGATCAGCAGGAGCCCGTTGTGATGGAGGGCGCGCCTCCAACCCCTGCGGCCGGGTGGTTACGGTTACGGCTGCCAACTTGCCAAGACCAACACGATGACAGTTGCGATGTGGCCGAGGGCTGCCCTGTCGCTCCTGCAACACCCCTCAGCACTGCACAGTGCCAGGAAACTACGTCGGACGAGGCGCCCAAGAAAAGGCCAAGCCTTCTCAGCACCGATGCCCCTGACGACAGCGACCCCGAGATCGGGGAGGCAGACTGCAGATGCGTCGGAGGCGATCCGCCCTGACCACAGCCAGATACGCTGCGTGAAGGCCTTGTCCAAGCCGGAGGCTGCCGATGCAGACGTTCGGATCGATGATGGCAAGCTGTTGATCTTTGCTATCGAGTCCCAGTCCACTGGGTCCCTGACTTCCTGGCATGAAGGCGGTTGCCGAGATAATCGGGCCGACGCAGCTTGCCAGACGGACGGCACGGACTTCGCTGCTTCTGGTGACGAGGAGAGCGACTGTCTGATGGTTGGTTGGGGGCCAAGGCCTCCATCTGCCAGACATGTTACCGTACCTCAGCGTGCCGGACCTGCTGAACTGGCGGGTGCTTTCGCAGCGGACCAGAAGCCCCGGGGCCTTGCTGAAGCACGTGGCCGACATGGGCAGCATGGGAAGGCCCGAGTCAATTGTCGCTTTCGAGTAAAAGCTACATCACCTTCGAGGAAGCCTTTGGAGGCGATGCCGAACAGCAGAAGTTCTAGCAGTGTCGATCTTGGTGTATGGATTTGGGGAAAACGAGAAAGACACATTTTGCCGAAAACTACATCCAGTCGGCTGTTGGCAACAACCGCCATAATTTGCTTCGTCATTGCCTGAGTGCAGATACATCCGTTGGGTTGGTTGTTCTCAATTATGCGGCTGGCAGCCTACCGTTTGTGCAGCAACGTATTGCAGAGACCATGCTCCGTGATGGAAGAATTAGTGGAATGCAACATTGGTGCCAACTTGACGGAGATTCAACATTGCATCGACGTTCTTGAGATGATATTTCGCAGGCTGCGCAAGCCTCAGCGAGACAAAGACCGTCTGAGCTCTGAGGAACGCCCCAAACCTGACCCTTTCACAATCAGAGAACTCCCGTGGAAAATTTGTTGTGGCTGCACTTTTTATCCTGAACCCTTTAGCCGCTGCAAGGCTTCTTCACCTCTTGAAACTTAGGGTTCAGCCCCTTCCAGCGTTGCTTCGGAGCTTCAGAATAGATCGTAAATAATAGGTTCGTTAGGCGGGATGCCCGACAAGCGACCCATGAAAGCTCATAAACAACCCCTTTAAGACTCTACTACTGGCACAAAACTCCACAAAGAACCCTATGAAGCTATTGTAAAACCTGCAAAACCCCACAAGCCCTGACGCACACCCCACAAAGCTTTCATAAAGCTGGTACTTTGACGTTTCACCGCGCTTTTGCAGTCGATCCAAGGCTCTTGGTGAGCGATTCGAAGCCGGACACGGCAAAGCCCACCGTGCCGAGGTCCTTTGAGAGTTCAAGGGTCACGTGACTTCGTAAGTGGAGTCTCGTTCTGTACAGGTTGGAAGGGTTTAGGATCTGTTGGATGAATCTGGGAATCTGGAAAAGAAAATAGGGCCTATGTGGCAACATGGTGCATCTCTTCGTGTCCTCCAGACCCGGACGCGACAAGGCCCAACTGTTGCCACGGAACGACATCAAATTGGACGAGCACCTGAGCCTACAAGCTCAAAATGGGCTTCCATGCGTGGCGTGCAGCGTCTATGCAACGACTCAGGATTTGAGAGCTTGTTTCAGATTTCTAGATAGGGGTTTCGTGCGGGCTGTAAAGGTAGAGAACCCAAAACCCCTTTAGGCAGTGATGACAAAAAGACCTTATACGCTTTCCCCTGAAACAAAACCCTGAAACCCCTAGCATCCAAAAGCGCCACACCCCCCAAAACTCTGAGCCATTTAAACTCTCCAAAAGAAAAGGAAGCCAAGCCCCTTGGCCCCCAGAAGCAAAAAGCAGTAACAAGTTCAATGGTAGCAAAACCGACATACATGAAGAGTACCTGTATACGTACATACATATATACATATATAATACATATATACATATATAAATATACACACACCTATCATATATTTCTGTATACATATTTTTCGTGTATGAATATATATATATATATATATGATACCCCCCCCCCACCCCCCCACCCCCACCCCCCGCCCCCGGGTACCTACTTGTTTTTGCCTTTTTTTGCTCTTCTGGGTACAAATTCTAGGATGCAAAAGATGCTGCGCCATGATTGTGCAATTGCCCTCTACATTCAAGTGTGTCTGCTACGTCATGGTTGTGCCAGTATTTTTCAGCTAGGTGAAAGACAGTGCTACATTTATTTATACACATATATACATATATGTATATATATATATGATACACATGCACATATATTTTATTTAACCATCATACAAGAGAAGCCTTGCAGGTAGCAGAGGCCTTGGAGGGCGAGCTCCAGGCCATGAAGGCTGGGCGGTTGCTTGGTCGGACGTGAAGAGCCCTGCACCCCCTGAAACCCCATCAAGGCCCTCAAGGGTTCCTGTAGGGTCCCTTTAGGGAACCCGGCAACGAAAATCCTTACGTACCATATTTTTTGGGATATTAGGCGTTTAGGGCTTCAGGCGGGGTTCTTTCCGGGTAAGGAGGGGTGAGGGCTTCCTGGGCGCCCGAGCTTGAATCGAGACTGTTCGGCCGATTCTGCGACGGAGACCTTCTTCATCTTATTTTCAGGTTGAGAGTTTATGGTAGCTCTTGTGATAGTTGTTGTTTGACTCGGGGGCGCGCTTGGGCTGAGCTTCTCGAAGACAGCTGAGGGTATATGGCCAACTTACAAAAGGTTTAGGGTTTGGGGCTGACGGCTCGGAGTCCATGCTCCGAACCAAAATCGATTGCCGTGTGAGTCTAGCATTTAATGCCGTCTGGTTTTGATTGTTTGATCCAACGATTTGATGCCAGGGTTCAGGCTTCCGAGTATACGGCTGAGGTCTGATCGCACCCATGTGTCAGAAATAGTACTACGATTCCATGGTTGGCATGTAGGTTTTTCCCAGGATCCCGCCCGTGCCGATGAGCTTGATACTGGCCGACGAGCACAGTCTTGTTCACAAGGGGCTTTAGGCAACAACCTCAACGCAGAACATACCCTGCCTTACTGGTCAAATGGCCCACATGCAGGTGGGCCAGACGAAAAGCAACGAAGGGTGCCAGCCTCAAGTTTAGGGTTTAGGATCTGTGGTCATCCAGGGGCTCTGGGGTCTAGGACCTGCTTTCTTGTTATGATGATCACTACTCATCATCATTCATGTCTCCACTAGAAGGGCACCTGGGTGTTTACATTCCGGCGGTTCGCAACATCACCACTCCCGCCGATGCTTCGGGTATTTGTTACAAGAAGTCCTGTTTCGGCGGGTTTGCCAAAAATGGTATGGCAGAAGAAGCGGGGACGGCTGCGGATGCATTTGAAGTGGACGCCATCATGCCCGTTTCCCCTTGCCCCCCTTCCCCCTCACCGACAAGCTCAATCCCGAAAGCCCTGAGCACCAAAACTTAAAATACCTAGCCTTAACACGGATTTTGCGGAGTTATAGGTTCCCAGATAGTCCCTCATATCAATGTAGCAGAATAATGTACCCCAAAGCCTTATTCTGCTGTTCAGAACAACGCCTCTTGTAAACCTTACATATTATGAAGGATTGAACTATATAGAACTGTGCGCTATATAGAACCGTAGAGGAACTTTGAACCGAAGCCTTAGATACAGGGATCCGATCAAGGCGACGCCTAGAGATGGCTCGCAAGCGTAACGAGGACGTGGCCTAGGCGCGAACTCTTCCGTGCTGTTTGTGAGGGCATTCGGTGTTGCTGAGTGAGGGGTTAGGGCTTTAGGAATGAAGGTCGGGGGCTTTTGGGGTTTGGGGCAGAGTTTAGATGTTTGATATGCGGCGTGTGAGCCTGAGGGTTGAGATAATGTTGTTGGGCTTTGAGGTTTGCTGTCGAGCGCTCGTGGCGAAGAGGTGTGTTTCTTCTGTTTCTCGGAGAGCTTGAAAGATGTTGCGCGATCTGTTCCGGAGTGAGGAAGTGGTTGATTGACGCTGCAGTTTCGGGTGGTGGTGCCACAGGGTCCTTCCCTTTTCTCTGGTTGCTTGGTTAGTAACGGTTAGTACTCCACTAAACCCTTACCCCTAGCCCCTAAGCTCTACACCCTACATTAGACGACATCCAGCGAAGGGGCCGTTCTACTGGAAAGCATGAACGCGGACGACTTTGCGCACCTAGGCAGACCAGAATCATAGGTCTTCCTACGTCATCACAGGCAGCCTGGCCTTCTGGCGATGCTCGAGACCACGGTCTTGCCCCAAATCTTGGTCGAGCATCCCAATGCGCGTCTCCGAGCGGCCCTCGACACCACGCACAACCGGAAAATCTTGTCTTGTGATACAGGCCTTGTCCCTGGATTCACAGGGAGAACCGAGACACCCTTTTATAATAGGGTTTCTGAAAAAATCCCAATTCTATTCCTTAGGGCCCAGACTGCAAAAAGGCCTCAACTCCTGATTGAAATTAAGGCCCCTATGTTACTTGGCTTATGCTTCTCTTCCATTCGGGTCCCTGGATTTTCCTTATCCAGTTATATATGTGAGCATTGCGAGGATTTTTGAGTCTCTAACGGCCTAGAAGGCCCTAAAGCCCCACGGAGTAGGTTCAGGGAAGCCCGAAATAACCAACTCGGCCTCGCAAAACCGGTACGCCTCGGAAGAGGTCATCCTCGGTGCGCTGGTGCTTCTGCCGACGCAGACCTTCCAACATCCCTTAACTAAGGAGTTGCACTTTTAGGGTTTAGAGGTTAGGGGTTTAGGGTAATATAGTAGGATCCTTCGTTAGTAGGATCCTTCGTAGGACTTAAGGTATGCTCCTTCATTAAGGGGTTTTGAAAGGCCTGGGATGCCTGCTGTCCGACACCTTACCTGGGAGCCCAGAACCCTTCTGTGCTTTCAGCATCGGATTTGGCTTGCAGCGTTGGTTTAAGGGAAATCGGGTCTGAAGACTGGTTTAAGGGCTCTGTATTGGGATATTGAGCAGAGCATGAGTTTGGAGCTCCGTTGGTAAGCTTGGACTTTGAGCCCGGAGTCCGCGCGTGACGTTTCAACCCTGCGCGGCTTTGGAATGTCCCAAAAGCTGTGGTCCCAGTTGCTGCAGGTAGCGTCGAAGCCTGAAGAACTGCCAGCACTATTCGTTAGGGTTCCTTATATGCATTTTACCATTCTACTCTAATTTTGTCCCTTAAGCCCCTTTTTCTACTTATCCCGGCCTTTCTACTATCATCCCTGACCCGAACCCATGGCCTGGTCTCAAAGACGAAGAACCCCTGGCCTTGCCAGGGATGGTAATAGGGATATCATTCGCACCTCTCTTAGAGAAAGGCGTGCTTATTCCTCGTGGTTCTAGAATAAACCGGTGTGAAGCTCGTAAACCCTGAACCCCGAACCGAGCTGTACTTTGCGAATACGGAAGTACTACAGCTTACATCCAGCGTACAAACCTGCAGTCCTTACCCCTGATGCTCACAGAGACTTTACATGTCTTTGGTCTAGGGTTTGGGGTTCAGATCCTTTGGTTTCAATGCTTGGGTCGCAGGCTCAAGTCGCGATGCAACTCCCGCGTCAACTGGCATCCCAGCAAGTAGCTAGTGGAAGGACGATACACAGGGTCTCCACTTGTCCGGCCGATCGTCATGTTTGTTGATACTTGGATGCCTTGTGTGGTCTTAGCAGTCAAAGGTAGCATCTCAACTCGAACAGTGAGCTG